ACATCCGCCAGAAAACTTGGAGCGAGGATGAGTTGAACCATCCAAGCACATCCTATTCTGATAAATCACAGAGCAGCGGTTCTTGATGACAGGCTTTCACGGTGCATAGAGCCCTCTCCAATACAGCCTGCCAACAGCAAGGTCCTATGAAGGAAATGCAGCTCTACACCTCATATTATGGCCTATAAATACAGCTGGGAGTCACCAACAGCGAGCGGGCGTTTGATGTGAGAAAGAAGCGAAAGTCCACTTAAAGCTCATTTCACTTTCTGTTCTTCTTCTAGTGGAGGCTGAACGGTCATAACAATGCCTGTACCATCAGACTGAATGAACATTTGTGTCTGAACTTGTTACGGGTTCATTGGTGTACAAATGTAGGGCTGAAACTAACAATTTATTTTCATTATCAAGCAATATAGCTAACGTTTTCTAGATTAATCATTTAAATATTGGAAATATCCATCCCTGTTTCTCAAAGTCAAAGAGGATGTCTTTAAAGTTTAAATGAATGGTTTGGTCAGAGCAAAACCCAAAGATATTCAGTTTAATATGATGAAAAGCAGAAGAAAATCTTTATTTGAGAGGCTGGTCACCGCATATTTCTGCCATTCTTGCATGAAAAATTACTTAAACGATGAATTTATTCAACAAAATACCTTACTCATTACGAAATAATCGTTGCAGCAATGTTTAAAATGACAATGGCTTCTCATGAGCGTCGGAAAGTTGCGGTTACTTTTAAGAACTCAGAACAACAGTTCCCTGGTCCAGACACAAAATAAGGGCCGATCAGATTAACAGGTTAAACAATGCTGACATTTTTTTAAAAACAAGCTGACGGGATTTGTCCATATCAGAGCTTCACACACTGGCTGCTGCATTTGTAAAGCAAATCATGTTTGACTGGCCAGACAACAACCCCACTAATCTCGAGCTCTGCAGCCATTTCCAGGCATCTTAACCTCCCTATAATCTGCCTGAACTCGGGACACATACTTCTAAACACAGACTAAGATTAGCAGCCTATCAGAGAATTATAGCGCAACTATGAAAGCGACACCAAAATATAAGCTGCTCATGTCGCTGCTAAAGAAGACTCAGAATAAGGGAATAAGAGCACCATACATCAAACGCAGATGGCCTTAACTACTTCTCTCAGGAAGTTTACAATCGCGTGGAGACCGCTAATAGCCCTGGACGTCCGTGTGTTTCTCACGCAGCGCCGTGTCCTCTCACTCGGCCAGGAGTGAGGGGCACAGCTGGTCCTGATGACTGCAGCACCCCTGCCTTTGAAGGCTGGGCTCAGATAACTGCTGCTCTGGTCCGTTAGCACCCATCTGAAATTACACCTCCACCTTCCCAGAGTGCCCTGCCCAAGCAATCCCCTCACTGCTATGTACTTTATCTCCACATACGCAGACCCCGAACAATTTAAATTTGAAACTCGAGCTTTCACCCACAGTCTTCAAGATATAGTGTTGACCTAAACGTTTTATGAGCAGCTGTGATATTAATCAATGAAGTTTAATTGATATAGTTAGATGAGAAAACCAACCATTTATTATATGTTAAGCATCTCCGAACCACATATTTGGTGGTGACGAAGAACAGGGCGAAAAGATCCGTTACATTGATCCAGCGACCAGAAACAAAATATTAATGTTGCTCTGAATGTGTAAACAATGCTTTTTGCTAACAAGGTCAACATAACAGCTTAAAAAACAGATTGTGTGTCAATAATGTGTTCAAACTTTTCTCCAAGTTTCCATAATTTGGTTTAATTAAGACACATAAAACTTTCCAAACTTTCTTCTGACAAGGGATTTTATCCAATGGTTAAAGGATTTTTGCGATGATGAAAAAGATGTTTGACTCTGCCGCTGATGAGATGATTCGTTACACATCTGTCTTTCAGAGACAGAAAGTCTGCATCCCTTCCGAGTGCGCATGGTAAATAAATGTGTCCTTGAAGCATAACTCCTGTTTTTTCCGTCTGGCAATCTGTTTTCTATTTTTCCCATCGATGCTATAAGGTCAGTCAGTCACACACTGAACCACTCAACACTGAAACATTGTGAGAAAATACTTCCATTTTAAACTTTCAATGTTTTTTTCTTTGTTAAGTATACATGTAACTTATGTGAACACAATTATAAAGTTAAAACACCTCACTGAGATTTATATTATGCTTCACCTGATTAAAAATGTATTCTCCCTGCACACACGTTTACATAAATAGCTCCCCTTTCAGACTTTCTGCGGTGCGATGCTAATCAGAGCAGTCAATCTCTGACTAACTAGTTACCTCCGTTACTGGGTCATCACTGACAGCAATTATGCATTTCATCAATTGGTATTTTTAGAACAGCAGCACTTCCTCTGCCACTTTGTAGCTTGATCAAAATCACCTCCCAAAAGGTATTTTCAAGCCACTAATTGTTGGGTTAACAACGAAGAGTCTTGCAGTGTTTTCATACTGCTCATCATTGCTGTTATTTTTCCTTGTTTACGCCTCTCAGCTGGCAGCATCTGTACCGCTGTGTACATCAATATTACAAGGTTACGGGGGGGGTATGGATTAACTGAGAATCGATCATAAACTAAGACTGCATAACATATATATTTTAATTGTTATTGCCAGAACAATAAGCACATTGCTGGGATTTTCTTCATTTAAAGTAAGGAGAATATCAGGAGAAAACTGCACGTCGAAATGTTACCATCTATTTGTTGTTATTTGTGTTCAGTCAATTTATAATTATAAAGAAATCTTTTACTTTCATTGTTTTATTCAACAAGAAATATGTTGTATTTAAGCAGTACACTGAATGCAGCACAGGGTACATTTGGTTTTGAATCAAGATTGTTATCGTTATTCAATAATCTAACGCATATTTTTCTTATATCGTGCAGTCCTCCCATTAACATACTCCATCTCCTCTCAGTGCAGTCTAGGGTATGTTCTTTTGTACATTATGTTTAATGTATGTGCACGTTTCTTCAGGGGAAATGGATGTTTCCTTCCATCATGTCATTTTTATTGTAGTGGGAGTGGCTATTTTTCATTGGTTAAGCAGTGGAGCCTGGTTGGTGTTCACGTGGATATGTCTGGTGATGAACACCTTGTAGGTTGGAATAAATTAGCTTTTAACTTGCAAGGTGCGAACAACATTTCATTTTTGTTTTTCTGGACAATACTGAAAACTCAAGCTGCCGACGACACTGCCAGCAACTCTAAGTGTCCAGAATGTATGGATTTGGTAGACCAATGTGACAAAATAGTGTCTGTGTGGGAAACGGCTGCATGGTCTGATGTTTCGCCATTGTATTATAAAAGTGGCATATTGTGAGTGCACACAAAGAAAGCAGCTCACACACCTGAACTCTGTCGGCACACAGAGGGACGCCGCCTTGTTAGAGACAATAAATATCCAGCTGCAGAGACAAGGAGGTGCGAGCCAGTGTGTTACACATAGTTTTCTATAAAAACAATGAGGCAGATGTTCTGAGAGACTTCACACATTTATAGTGGATATGTGCTTTTATCAGGTTTTTATTAGAACATACATAATGCATCGTAATGGTGGGTAGCAACATTTAGAGTTCTGTTACGGTGAAAAAGAAAATTGTCCTGACAGAGAAAAGATAAATAATTTAGCTTTGGTTTTATATAATGCGTGTCCTTTCCGCCGTACCCCGGTGGTTAAAAACACAGAGCACTAAATTCTGTCTTCGTCACATCCTCTCAAAAGCTTTGAAACGCTGAGTGAACATAATTATTCAGCAGCTGCACACACAAACAAAATGACACTTTCCTGACGCAATGTCACTATAACCTGTGGAGAGGTTTGCTGTTTTTTCCTGAAGACATTTCAAAAGACAGGCTGGTGCCTTTGAGTTCAATGGACTGAAGTGAAGTGTGAAGTTATGTGTTCTTATTGTAATGAGTTTGAGTACCCTCGACCTCTGCTGCTGTTTTTGAAGGTGATGTGCTCATGAGGTTTGTTGACATTCAGATAAGTCTCCACAGTTCAGAGTGATAAAACTCAACTTCCCTGTTGCTGATATCTGACAACTCACACTACAGAAAGCAACACATTCAAAACCCCCCACTTGTATCGACACGTCTATGTTTTCTTCCGCGTACTTTTTACTGTAGAACATGTTTAATTGAAAGAAATTGATCCCAAATCTAAAATGTTATCTGCTTTGTTATTCTAATGAAATTGCTTCAAACAAAAGCCTGCAAAAAGTGGTGCAGCTGTGAAATAAAGTAGTCCTAAAATTAACTTTGAGCACCAGTCCATCAATCATGACAAAAAGAGTAGCACATGCATGCATGCAAACCCCCTTATCAAATATCAATGTAACAGTAGAGGAATCAGTGGGATGAATAGGAAACATTCTGGTGCCTTCATGGTATTAATATGCCTTCCACATGCCTTCCCCTGGAGCTCTTTCCTTGGCCTGGGTTTCCTGTTTTGTATGGAGTAGGCTAGTTGTCACACCATGTGCATGAAGCTGTTTAACAAAACTAAGTGTCAAGGGAACAAACCTCTGCATCTTCTCCTCAAGTTAGAACAGCGTGCAGGCCTGCCTTCACTGAGCTGTGAATGAACTCTCCACTGTGGACAAACCACCATTTATATAGGGGAAAAGGGACCATCAAGATTAGCGTCATTATCTGCTGATCCCCATTCAACTCAACTGGATGTGTGCATAATGCTCCTAATGTTTATTAAACCTACGGTTAGTGTGGAGAGCCGCGACATGGGAAAACAGTGTGATGATCATCGCGATCCGGGTAAAGTAACGCAGACAAAGGATTTTCTACCACATGTTTAATATGTAGGTTAGATCAAAGATAAACACCGAATATTGAAACCCCATTTTAGGCAAACATCGTGCATGCACATCACCCCCCTGTGCCCGCACAAAGCGCTGAAGCGGCCAATGCAGATCTGTGTTGAAATGCTGCAGAAAAGCGAACAAAGCCTTACCTTAAAAGCTGAGTGTCTCCCCGCTGGATGCTGTCCCGCGGCTCATGGTGCTCCTCCGTCCACTTTGTTGCTCACACGGCTCGTGCTTTCTGTTCGCTTGTGCTCTCCGTCCACGGAGGAGATAAACACTACTACGCCGAGCGGAGGACTGTGTTGTCTGTCACTCTGTTGCTGGCCTTTTTCTCGCATCCACATCCACTCAGTTCGAGGGGCGGAGCCAGAGTGATTGTGTGGCTCTAGGTGGCCTGGAAGTGAAGGAAAGGAGGAAAGGAAGAGAGGAGAAAGTGGAAAGGAAGGTGGGGAAGGAGGAGAAGGAGGCTGTATTGATGTTGAATGTGATACCTTCCTGGCAGCAGGCAGGGAAGACAAAGAGGAAGGAGGAGATTTTTCAAGGTTGGAAGAAGTATTCAGATGCTTTACTGTCAAAATACTTCATTACAATTAAAAGTCCTGCATTCAGAATGATAAGTAAAAGTAGGAAAGTCTTATCAGCTAAATGTACTAAGTAAAAGTACTCATTGTGCAGAAGAATTTCCTTTATGTGTTGTGTGTAATGATTATATTTACAGTTAAAGTATATGTTACAGGTCTAGATAATAGTGTTGCATCAAGTAGCATTTTACTGCTGTAAACAAACAAAGTTCGGATTTACTTTAGTAAAATATTTAAATAATTTGATTATTTTGTGACTTAAAGAGTTAGACCATTTTTAAATATGCATTTTGTTAAAAGTAGCTAAAGCTGTTGTAAATGTAGTGGAGTCAAATACATAATTTCCCTTTGAAATGTAATGGAGTAGAAGTATGAAGTAGCATACAATGGAAATACTCAAGGAAAGCACAGGTACCTCAAAATTCTACATATGTATTCATAGTTTCATTACAAAAAATACCTCTCTCTTAAAAAGAAGCAACTAACTGTATTCAACTAAATTAAGGGAAACAAATGAGTCAATGTATCTTTGTTTCTTATTTATTTAAAGTTTCAAAATCAGTTATTTCCATCATTTTAGCTTGAATTTTTAAGAGTTAGCTACTGGAGAAAAACAAGCATATCGTTCAGGAGAACACTTTTGCCTTTTTCTTTGGTACATCAATCATCATGACCTTCGAGCCCCAGGTTAGAAAACAGTAATGTATCAGTGTAGTGCATCAGTCAAAGGAAAGGTTTGCACATTTTCACAGCTGTTTTAAACTCGTCAAAGTCTACCTTTAACTGATCCAGAGTGCTTTGTTGCAGAGCGAGTAACATAATAATGAATCTGCACATTTTAAAGCGTCACTCAAACAACACACCCACTGTCAAATTCCCAACACGCATATAATGTTACCCACTGTATATTGGAAGTGGGATGTGTCGTGGATATTTTAAACTCATCAATACTGTAAAGATGTACAATGAGAGTAATCAATAATAAACTGGTGAAAGCAAACAGCATTGTCTTGTTGGTTATTTATTTGAAGCTTCAAAGGCACAGGTCTCACAGAGTATAGGATAGTCTGCAGGAGTGTGCGCAATAGTCACAGAATAGCAAAGCTTATATACAAGATAGGGCGGGCAGACAGAGTCTTGTGTAGCTAGGCGGAATGCCTGAGAAATCTGCTTTCACACGGATGTCTCATGTCGCTATTAGACACCTGTGTCCTTGAGCTGCAGAAAGTATAACGGTTATCAGAATATGGAAGTATGGAATATGGAATTTGTAAAACCTGTTTAGTTTGTTTGTGGAGTTATGGCAGGAAATTAGATCCATATAATTTCCTGCCATAACTCCACAAACTAAACAGGTTTTACAAATGCCTCATGATTCACTAACAAACACAATGTGGTTTGCAAATACAAAACACCATCTACAAACTAATGCATTTAGTTTTGCAAAGAAAAAACGTATCCATCAAATAAACACATACCATTTTTCTAATAAATCATTTTTCAGAGACAAATTCAGCATAGGTTTTACAAGTACAAAACTTATTTTTATCACCGCGGAATATATATATATATATATATATATATATATATATACACACACATATATATACATACATATATATATATATATACATACATATATACATATATATACACACATATATATACATATATACACTAGTGCTGTAGCCGTCGACGCGTCGACTTCAAAATATCGTCGACGACATATTTCCGCGTCGACTCGCCACCATAGACTGTATATATGGTCGCCACACACACGTGGGTCACCCAAAGCAACAAGCAGTTCGCAATCGCACTTCTAACACAATGGAGACTGAAACGGCTACCACCTCCTCCTCACAGGATTGCGCACGAAGCCCTCAAACGAAAACATCTCGCCCTAGGTCTTCAAAAGCATGGGAATATTTTAAAGTTAGTCCAAAACGCAAAGATATTTATATATTTATATCTCACTGAGACTGCTGCTTGACCAGAAGCAGCAGCTAGCTGTGGTGGCAACCATTAGCAGCTAGCATTTGCTCTCCGATTTTTACATAAAAATGGAATTATGGATTATAAATTCAATATTTTTTTTATACATAGACGTTAAAAACCTATGGATTAACCGATTCAGCCGCGTTTTTTCTCATTTTAATGCCATTGAACACGTATTTTGATCAGATTGACAGCAACGGCGGTGAGACGATCTCCCTAGAAGCTCTGTACGTGTTGTGATGACTGTATTTGCTTCCCCTGTCGCGAGTCCGGATCACTCAGTGATGATACTATGTACCTACATAATCTGTGGAGTCTCAGTTTTAATCGGATATCTTGTATGTGCAGCTACGATAAGTAATAAGGGTACTTTTATCTTGAGTTCTGTGCCAATGTCCGTTAGCATTTTTCGCTCAGGGGTCATTTAGATAGCATTTTAGTTTGCTTCTTATGAGACTTGTGTTTTGTTTTGTGTTGGTAAACATGGTTTGTATCGTCAGTTAGCTGAGATTATTTCCGTTAATCTGGTATAACACATTAATAGGTTCTTAAATATTAAGATCCCCTGAGACACAGTATCGTGAAACATTTTTTTTTTACATTACGTTTTTTTTACATTACGTTTTTTATGAATTGAACAACAGAAAAATAATCGTTCGATTAGTCGACTAATCGATCAAATAATCGCCCGATTAATCGTTTTCAAAATAATCGTTTCCCCCCAGCATTAATATACACACAGATATATATACATACACACACATATATATATACACATATATATATATACACACACACACACACATATATATATATATATACACACATATATATATACACACATCTATATGTATATATATGACTCCTCGGTCCTCCGGTAGTGACCCGGAAATGAATTTCAGCGCGCCATTTTGAAGGACGTCTCATTTCTCTAAATGCACACAGAGGACCGAGGATCGAGCATCGAGGAGGCTCTCTGAGCTCTAACTGAGGATACACTGATGAGAGGCTTCTCAATTATTAAATTTCCCCTTCTCGACTCCCCTCCTCGAGACTTAGTCCCGCCCACAGGAGATGCGAGCGGAGGACCGAGGAGGGGAAGCAGCAGACGTTTAAAGAAATGAGAACTCCTCTCCTCTGAGCGGTCATATTAAAGCGACGTCCGTTCATTATTACGTGGCAACAGCTGCATCAGCTGTCGAGTGTTTTGTCATAGCGCTGTATTTTATAATTTCTGTTAGATCAGCTGAACATTGTTCCCCCACATATTTACTTTGAATTCATTGAGAGTGCGGTATAATGAGACAATAACAGGCTACAGATGCGGACACACACACACACACACACACACACACACACACACACACATATAAATATATACAATTTAAAGTATGAGAGCACTCTCATAATAACGAGGATTTCATCGGAGGATGGTCTGGTGGTTCCTCGGTTATCGCTCCTCCATTATCGCTCCTCGGTCCTCCGGCAGACATAAGAGCCATGGGACGGTACTCAAGATGGCGCAGACAAATCAACTTCCGGTGAGACCGAGGAGCGAGGAAATGAAAATAGTCGACCTGAGACGGGGCCAAAGTCCTCAAACACTGCAGAGCCCATACCGTGTTCCTGCTATAGTGTTTACTTCTTGTCTGTCTTCTTCTGTTCATTTATCTGACGTCCAGCAGCACTCCATACCCTCTTGTACTTTCTCTTTCCTGATCCTCCTTAGCAACGGAATTGACCAATCAGAATCGAATATTCAACTAAGCCTTGTAATAAAAGTTGTTAGTAGCCTTAAGTGCCTACACAGTTGCTGCACTAAACTACATTTTAGCATTTAAAATACCTAGCCATTATGTTGCGGTTATTTTGGTGAAAGTAACTCAAAAGTAATATAAAAGTAGTGTAGCTCATTACATTTCAGAGACAGTAATATTGTAATGTAACTTATTACTTAAAAAAGACAGTAATAAGTAATATGTTACATTTTGGAAGTAACTTGCCCAACACTGCAGCAGAGAACAATGGGAATCTAATCTGAGCTAACTTCAGTGTGATGATCAAACATATGATGATTTCATATTTTTTTTAAAGTCACTTAAAGCAGGTATAGTTTTGCCAAGAATAAACTAAATAAATAATAAGTATTTATTTTATTGTTTTCTGCTGGTAGTTGTGGGATAATTGTGAGAGAGATTTTGGGTTCAAATCTCATATTTTGGGGCTGTAACCTTCCGTTTGAGCCTTTGTAAGTGTGTGTGGGGAAGAGATAGTATTTTGTAGTTTGTGTTATTGTGCTATGCAAGGATCAACCGTAATGTGGGTTGTGCGCTTGTGTGCTGCTCTTAATTACTTCATCAGTAAATGTCAAACGTTAAAATGGCTCCGCCATCTAGATTTATTTATTTGTTTGTGCTCCATCAGATGCAGGCGCTGCTGCTGCAATTACTGCTGCACAGCCGAATGTGCCAATGAATAATAAATCAAAACACAAAGAGATCTAACCAGCTGTCTCTGAACCATTCGACCAATTGAAAAGTAAACATGCGTGGTGTTCACAGTAAAACATCCTCTTTAACCACTGAAACTCTTAAGGACGTTCATGGCCTTAGAGAACAGAGGAGGGACACTTACAGAGGTAGGAAACTTTCAGAATGTTCCCTTCAAACAACCACACACACGTAACCAGATACCAGTGGCGAACCGTCAGGGCCTTCAAGGTATTCAGAGAATACCCTGGAACACTCAGATAAAAAAATAAAAAAATCGATTTAATTAAATAAATAAAATGTATATAAAAT